GGCGAAGAAGCCGGCAGCAAAGACGGCGAAGCCCAAGGCCGTGGCAGGCATCTTGAAGAAGCCTGCTGCAGCGAAGTCCAAGGTCGTATCTCAGCCGAAGGCGAAGTCCAAGGCCGCAGCTGTTCCGAAGGCGAAGTCCCAGGCCAAAACTCCGATCGTGAAGACCATCCGGAAGAAGAGTGGCTGGGTGGTGGTGTACAAGCGGAAGGCCACAGATGGCTCGATCTGGGGGAAGTGGTGGAGCCCCGAGGGCAAAGGCTTCCCATCCGGTTCCAAGGCCGCCAAGGCAGGGTTCGATGAGGACCGTCTACATGCATTGCAAGTTGTAGCCCATGACTTCCCGGCAAGTTCCATGAATCATGTGCTAGCATGAGTATGACATGCGAGGATGGGCCAGAACGCTAGAACTGAGTGCAGCGATGCGAAGTTCTGTATCATGCAGGGTGCACGGTTGGTGCTGCCCGGTTTTTGTGTCATCGGCGGAGAGCCACATGATGATGCCGCGATCCGAGAAAGACCACTGTTTTCCTGCCTGCTTGCATGTCTGGACATCTTAGCAAATTCTGTCTGCATGGGTTTTTCATTGAAAGTTATATGGCTATATATATATACACATAGGGTTTCTATATAGGAATGTAAATATATAGGTTGCATGCGGGTACAGAGAGTCTCTCTATGACATGTCAGGCCTGGTCGGCCAATGCCTCCGACGAGGCAAAGGACGTGTCCCCGTTGGCGCTATATATGTGGTTTTGTTGCTGAAATGCTTCGGTTTGTCTTGTCTTTATGTACAAAGATTTGAGGATTTAAGGGGTGTGGTATATAAGGATATATAGATGAGACTATGCAGGGTTCAGGGTTTAGGGGTTTATAGGGTTTTAGGGCCTTATAGGGTTTATTAAGGGGTTATCTGGGGTATATATAGGACTTCGTCGTCGTCGGTTGCTGGTGGGTCAGGATGGCCCATAGCTGAAGTCATTACACTTGTGGTGCAGGTCGTTTCGCATCATCGGGGACCTGTGCATGGTCTTGTGATGTAGTGAATATATGTGGTTTGAAAATGGGTTTAAGGTTTCTGTAAGATTTATTTACTCTACATATAGGTTACAAAATGGGTTCAGGCTAGGGGTTTAGGGTTTCAGCCTTCCGGTTTTAGGGTTTAGGGGATATATATATATAGGGTTCAGGGTTCAGGGTTTAGGGTTTGGGTGCTAGGTGTGGCTTTGTTGTGATATGTTTCGGTCTGTCTTATCGTTTGACAGATGCAGATGGTGTTGTTATGAAAGGATATGATGGAAACCATATAGGTCCTAATATAGGTTTCAGGGTTTATATTGTATGGGTGTGTATACAGGCTTTATGTATATAGGCTATATATAAGGGTTTAGTTATATAGGGTTTCGTCGTGTTGGTGGTGGATATATGTAGTTCGAAGTGATGCTGCTGTGGTGCAGTGCATGGTGTATGCTGGACGGTTTCGGTGGTGGTACATACCATATATGTATATAGATATGTGGGTGTTGCTATCATGCATGGTGCACCATGGTGTATATAGACATATGCAGGTCATGGTGTTTTGTTCTTGCATTGATATAGAGCAACTGTGCTACCTTTGCATGCTGCGAGGCTTGTGCCCTTCAAGTCGGATCTTCTTTGCATGGCTGCCTGAAAACTGAGCTTTGTATAATCATATGACCTTTTACATAAGATCCTTTCACATCTATCCTAGCCAGAACATGCATCATGAGCTGGGACACTTATGTTTGGAGACGAAATCATCCGATCGTATATAGAGACATTTCTTCGGATTGCAGGGCTCGGCTCGCGATCCGCCGGTGCAGGGCTTGGCTCGCACCCATGCCGCCTCTGGACCTAACCAAAGTCGGGAGGAAGAGCTTCGTGTCACAACATGGGTTGGCAGAGGTTTTACGTGCAGTGAAGGAAGCAGATTCCTTGCCAGCTGGCATCAGTCAAAGCTCCGTGAAGCGGGCCCGGGACAAGAGAATGGCAGCTGAGACACCATTCGGTCCAATGATCAAACAGTGGAAACTCGGAAAGAGAACTGGAGGAGAGATTGCAATCGACTATTTGGATCCGGCCGCCTGCCTCTGGCATCGGCTGAACTGTTGCGAGCTGTTTCGAAGCTTCATGCTGGAGATGTTGCACAGGAAGCAAGCCACCATCAATTCCCGATGGGGGATAGTGCTGTATTCCGACGAAGTGTCGCCGGGCAATCAACTTAAGGTTACGAATGCTCGGAAGCTCCAAACTTTTTATTGGAGCTTCCGAGAATTCGGCACCAGCTTGACCCGCGAGGATGCTTGGCTGCTGTTGACTACAGTGCGATCCAAGACGGTTGCAGATCTGCCTGACGGGTTGAGTCAGCTCGCAAAGCACTGCATGCTGAGCTTTAGCGAAGATGACCGAGATTTCCGTTTCGGGCTCGCCCTCCCAGGCATGGTTTTGTGCGCTGAGCTTGCCATCGTTGTCGCCGACGAGAGTGCACTGAAGCATATGTTTGAGTTCAAAGGTGCTTCCGGAAAGGTCCCGTGCATGTTCTGCCGAAACATTGTGTTGAGGCGATATGCTCCGACACCGCTGAACCCGGCATTGGAGTTGCACACGTGTACCGACAGCAGAAAGTTTAAGCTCCACAGTCTCAACTCGCTCACGGCCACGGTGAACTTGCTGGCATCGAAAGTGGATGAGACTTCGCGGAAAGACTTTGAGGAGATGCAGACCCACCTCGGCTTCAACCATTCTCCTCAGGGGGTTTTACTTTGCGAACCCCTCATGGCCATGTTCGACCCCACCAAAGGTGTGATGTTCGACTGGGCACACGTGTTCTGTGTGGCCGGACTTTTCCACCTAGAAGTCAATTTGCTTCTGGGCAGGCTCAACCAGGAGAGGGTGAAGCAGGAGGTCATTCACCAGGCTCTTCAGGAGTATTCTTTGCCATCTTACCACGAAGGCAAAGCGAGTACCATCAAGAGCATATTCCAGCCGAAAAAGGGCGACTCCGATTGGAAGAGCTCGGCCAGCGAAGCTCTCGGGGTGTATCCAATCCTCCGGGACATCATCCATCGCATCAGGGAGACAACAGAGCTGTCGGCAGATTGTTTGGGTGCCATTAGCTCGTTCCTTTTACTTTGCCAGTGCTTAGACCTCCTCCAGTTGACCTTGCATGGGGGTGTGGAGCCAGCAGCTCTCCGAACGGCTGTACAGGCACACTTGGCCAAGTATCAGGAGGTGTATCCTGACGAAACTTTTTTGCCGAAAGGGCACATGGCGATGCACCTTCCAGGACAACTCTCGCAACACGGGATGCTCATCTCTTGCCTGACACACGAGAGACGCCACAAAGAGTTGAAGCGCTACGCAAACAACCAGAACTGTGCCCGAGCAGGCACTGAAAAAGGCCTTTTACGAGAGATGGAACTCACCCATCTCGAGGCACTGGACCGCCTTTCGCTGAGCTTCGCTCCGGAGTTGCAGACGCCCGTGGCCGCACCGGAGCCACTGCAGCGATCATTTGCAACCCACTTTGGCCTTCGTGGGGCCAGTGGACTTCTCTTCAGCTCAAAGGCTACGGTGCCGCTTTGCCCTCTAATTTCAACTGGGGACGTCGTCGTCCTGGACGAGCCTGTAGCAGTAGCTGAGGTGCTTTTTCATTGCCAATTCCAAGACCATGTGTTCACTTGTGTAAGCTTTTACGAGAAGGTTGTTGACACCACCAACAAGTTCAGAATTGTCGAAGACAATGCTTCTTTCGTTCGTCCCGCCTCCGTTCGTGGGCCCTGCATCACTCGCAGGACTGATGATCGTTTCATCCATGTAGTGCCCCAGCATTTTGCAGCTCGCTAGCAACATCCGGAAATAGCGAGTGCACTGAACCTCAGTCTGGCCTTTTCAGTTGTACTTAGGCTTTGGTGTGTAAATACTTTTTCGGGTTTAGAGTTTGAACTGTAAGGATTTATGTAGAAAGTCTTCGTATGTGTATCGACCGACTATAGTAATAATAAGGCCTCAACGAAGCCTCGTGCAATCTGGAAAAGCGCCAAAAGTCAAAACAAGCCCTGACACACAGAACGATCATTAAGAAATTACGCATTGACCACCTCCCCATTTGCAGGCAGCCGCAGGCGGCCCGGTGCAGGTGCAAACGGCTCCAGGTGTTTTTTTGGGATTGCTTGCTTTGGTGTTTAAAAAAAATCTGATATGGGTGTAGGCTCCCGCTCAAGCTTGAATCCATTTTTACAGTGGTTGGTGCAGCTAAAATAATCAAGATTATCACTCACAGGACCGGCAGAAAATTTCAATCAAATGGAATATCTTCAATAAAAGAATCTTCAATCAAATATCTTTCACGCAGATCGCTCTCTCTTTTTCCATGTGGGGATGACGAAGTCTCCGTCCTTGTGAGTCATTCCAAGATCTTTGTCCCGACAGATCGGGTCACTGAAAGCGGAGAGAACTTTCCCCCCCCGCTCAGAGGTTCAGCCTTAGAGGTTACAGCCTGACAGGGTGACGAAGCTTCGGCTGTGCGCTCTCTGAGAAGTGGACTAATTGCCAGGAGAGGTTTCTGGTTCCTCCTCTTCGTACTCGCTGCTGTCAGTGAAGCCTGTTGGTTGAAACCAACGCCTGAACAGCGCCCGGAAGACCTTGGCAGTCGCGCTGAGGCGACGTTGTCTTCTGGTCCTCAGGTACAAGCTGACGGTGCACCAGATCTCTGGAATTTGTAAGACTCGCATGACTGAAGAAAAAGGTGCGGGTGGGCGGGCTTTCGAAATTTTCTGCCCGGCTCCGACTTGAGCAACGTTCACATGCAGGCACATCACACATGCTCAATGCAGCAAAACGTTTCTGCCTAAACAATCACGTTCCTTGTTTGTTTTCCATGATCGTGATAAAACACTAACTCGTCCCTCGCACGTAAGCTTATCACTCACAGGACCGGCAGAAAATTTCAATCAAATGGAATATCTTCAATAAAAGAATCTTCAATCAAATATCTTCCACGCAGATCGCTCTCTCTTTTTCCATGTGGGGATGACGAAGTCTCCGTCCTTGTGAGTCATTCCAAGATCTTTGTCCCGACAGATCGGGTCACTGAAAGCGGAGAGAACTTTCCCCATCTTTTATAAGATCGACGCTTACCGTGGACCGTACTGCGTCGGGAAAGTCTGGGAGAGCCTCGATCCTAACTCTCGAGGGTTCATCCGCGATGTTCGATTTTGACGGGACTCTCGCGATCCAGGGTACAGTCCCCGTCTTGAGCTCATATGCGGCTTGATGCTTCAGCAAGTCGTTTGCGACTCTGTTAGCGCTTGCTCCAGTCATAAGGCAGGCTTTGGCGCCTTCATTATCACAGTAGCATACGACTCTCATTCCTCTGAGGGCCTCGCCCCAAGCCTTGAACGCCAAGCAGACTGCAGCCAACTCGAGCAAGAAGATGCACTTAGACTCTAGGTCTATTCCCACCTCAGCAAGCTCAGCTGAGCTAGGGAAGTACGAGAAGAACCTCAGGGGCTCTCCAGTGGGTCCGCACAGGACTCCGCCTATTCCCGCGACGTTTCCTTCCTTAGTCGGTTCCAGGGACGCGTCAGTGTATATAAAGACGCAGGGCCTCTGACCCAGGAGAATCGTCCTCGCTGGGGCGAACTGAGCGATGTCAATGTACATCCGAAGTGCTGCGGAGATGCTTCCGTCAATTGCGGTAGAGTTCCGTTCCAAAACGGAGTAGAATACTTTAAGACAGGACTTCGGGAGTCGACCGAAGATTTGCCCTCCGGCGAAACTCATTCGCCCCGCCATGTGCCTGGCCTCGGATCTCGATATTCTTCCCCTGTCGAGAATGTTTGAGAGCTCGCTCACGAGCTCACTGATTCTTGCCTCAGTGTTGCTGATGAGTAGCGATCCCTTGGTGAGATGTCTCAGGTTGACGCTGACTCCTAGAGCGTGTAGTGTCCTACCGAAGACCGTGTTTTTCTCGCCAGAGGTGTCATACACCCATCCAAGGATATCGAAGAGGGACCTTGCAGCCAGGTCCGAGCTCTTCTCCAGGGCGGGCTCCGAAAACAGGCAAAAGTCGTCAAAGAAAACCGTCCACATGAGACTGAGGGCCACGACTCCTAGGGTCCACAGTGCCCTGCTCATCCTGTTGAAGGCGTATACACTCTGAGTGGCCCCGAAGGGCAGGGCCAGCGATGTAAAGACCTTGGGGCAGCCAGACGGGTCCTTGATGACTAGTCCCGCCCTGTCTCTGGAGCTCGCCGACACTGCCATCTGCTTGAAGGCCCACTTAAGATCGAAGCTCTTAGCGGTCAAGTCGCGAGGCCTCTGCGCGGCGTCTCTGGCGTCGCACCACTCAACCACAGCGGAAGCCATGACATCTACGGAATGAAGAGATATCCTTTCCTCCGCGAAGGTGGTAGCGTTTATCAAACTAGCCGACATATCGTCGACGCACCGTACCTTGTCCCTCTGCTTAACCCCAAAGCGATTAGACACGACCGAGGGCGCATCGGCATCATCAGGCTCCATGGGTCCCTTGAGCCATCCCCTCGAAACTTCAGTTATGGTCTTCTCCCACACTTCCTTGGATAGGCCCTCCGCGGCTCCAAGAGCCCTTGAGAGCGCTGCATCCTTGAGGACCGGAGCAAGAGCTTCGAGCTCGCTCTCATGGATCGTGGCCGGGGTGTACCTCTTGGGCAGGTCGTTCGACATCGGAATTTCGCCCGTAAGGTCAACACCTTCTTCCAAGAGTTTGTGTGCTTCAGCATCGTTCAGCTCGTATGCGTTCACCATCTCCTTGAAGAGCAGGATCTTCTTGTCCTTTACTACCGACCTTACTCCCTCGTCCATCGAGTCCTTCAAGGCCTTTTCCTCTTCGTAGAGCTCCGAAGCAACCGACATCCATTTGCGGAAGAAGGACGCTCGCCTTTCAGCGACCGCCGATGGATCGTCAGCCGCAAGTTCCCAAATGGATCTTTTCAGTGGTTCAGGCACTGTCGAGATCGCGTCGGCTGGGTGTCCTCTTCCCGCCGCTTCCTTCAGGAACTCGCCGGGGCTCCAAGGCACTCCAAATGTGCAGATTGTGTCCGCTTCTGCTGGAATCGTGGAGTTCTCCCCTTCTGTTCTGGGAGAGATTTCCAGCAGACGGGAGCCGTCGGGAATGGTGACCTGCGGGGTGATCAAAGGGTGCTCGATGAAATCCTTGATGCGCCACGTACAGGAAGATCTCGGAATGAATGCCTTGAGAATCACCCGGTATTCTGGAACGAAGTTGGGTAGATTGGACTTCGTGGTACCCTCGGATGCCATTGCTCTTGAGACTTTCTCTGCCGCAAGCGGCAGTTGCGATGCCCGCAACATGTCTAGAGGTTCCATGACAAAATTGTCTGCCTCGCAGGCATCCTTGACAGCATGAGCCACTTGCTTGCACAGTTTGGCCGGGTACGCCGACTCCAAAGAAGTGGAGAAGGTCTGGTCCTCATGGGACCATCCCCATGATTTGTGAGCGTGGCTGTTGTCACATTCAGCATGGAGTCTGTCCAGAGGCACTTTGCCGAAAAAGGCCAGAGCGGTGTTCTTCTTGCGATCGCTTCCATACATGCACGAATGAAATTGCACATATCTCGGATTGCACCGAGATTGCGCCTCGGTCCAGAAAGAGGTTCGCCAGAACAAGGAGGAGAAGGGGTTCTCCACCGTCCAGGGGAGTTGCTTGTCCGTGCATCTAATGCACACTTGAGTCACAAGTTTGTACAGCTCGTTTGCTTTCTTCACACGTTCTGCTTCGTGATCAAGTAGATGCGGCAGTCCGTCTGGGAAATCATCCGAACGGAGAGGTCTTGGTCCGTAGCGAGAGGTGCTCATGGCGATCTCCCTGGCCCGCGAACACGTTCCACAAGGTGGCGCCATCCACACAAAAACTAGCTGATCTGAACTTAAAATCTGGAAAACAAGGTGTTGAGAGGCCTCAAGTGAAAGGTCCAACCTTATCACCGGCCCCTTTCTAGAGGGAGAAAGAAAACTATCGATGCCAAAACTTGCTGACAGGCCGACACTCTTCATGGCGGCCGTGATGCCCGCGGTGCCCGCGAAAAGCTCGAGGGCGAAGCATGACTGGAAAACTTTCCCTCCTAAATTCAAGGAGGGATAGAGGCCCTCTGTCTGTGATGGTCAGTTCGTCTGCCGCTGCGGGCACTGGTTGTACGAGTGAGAGCCCAGGCACTTGGAGCAAATGTGCAAGCCTCGGTCGCATTCGGACTCGTTGTTCTTCCCCGCGGGGCATCCCCCGGGTAAGTTGTGCCCAAAGCAGATGGGCCTCCCAGACGTGGGGCACTTGTAGTGAAGGCCAAGCAAAAGCTTGGGCATGCGAGGAGCCTCATAGTTATCCTGCTGGTGCTTGCCCTTGCCCTTCCCTTTGCTTTTGCCCTTGGAGTTCCGGTCCTTGCCTCCCTTGCGACTAAACCACGTGTCTTGATGCGGCATGTCATACGGAGACGGCCTGTTGCCCTTCCAACCTTTGCCATTCTTGCCCTTGCCGGCCCGGTCGCCCTTCTGGTCACCTCCCTTTGGGCTGAACTGCTGCAAGGGCAGGAGTGCGAACACGACCGAGTGTACCGTGGGCAACCTGGCGAACTCGGCGTCGATAGGTCTAGTGCCGTCTGACGGTCTGATATCCTTTACCACGTCAGCCATGTGAAGCCAGGCTGCCTTGTCTGCTCGCAGGATCTGGAACATCTGAACTTTTTGGAACCGGGCCGGTTGCTCTTTGGATAGTTCTCCGAACAGCCAATCCACCCATTTCTGGTGGACGGTGAATGTGACGAGATCCGCGAACTCATATGCCAAGCCGCGCCTGCGTAGTGCCTGGTAGACCAGGAACTCGGTATTGTTCTCGATGAACAGTCCTTTGTCGTTCTCCTTGACCTTGACCTGTGAGCCCTCAATTTCCAAGAGCTTGGCCGATGACTTATTGCTCATCATTTCCTGTTCTCTGGATGCACACCTGGAGGGCGGCATGTACTTGAGTATTTTGGACTCAGCTTGATGCGAGGCCGAATCCAGCATGGCGTGCCCTGGCTCCAGACCTTTGGAAATTTCGAGACCTGGGTACTTTGCACGAAGGCTGTCGAGCCTCGCGCTGCGTTCCGCTCTCGGGACCGGCTTTGCTGTGTCGGCCGTCGCTTCAACCCTGTTCTTGAGGCTGGCGCTGATAAACACGTGGGCCTCAAACAGAAGGTTCCTGGCTGCTGACAATGTTCTCAGCGATTGCCCTACCCCGGCGATGCCTTCGAAAAAGGTGTTGAATAGGGTCTCGTCGATCGGCTGCCCCGGCTGACCGTGGGCAAAACCATAGCGATTGAGTGTCGCCAAACCGTGCCTCTTGAACGCCTGTGCCGCCGCATCCGGTATGCCAAGCTCAGCAGCGCGCTGCAGGAACTGAGCTTCGCTGTCCAGGAGTGAGGTCATGATTTGAGGCTTTAGCCAATCTCTTGATTCTTAAAAGGGGGGCTGCGGCATCACCGCAGCTGAGATTCGACTCGATAACTCACTCTCAACTACTGGAGGTGCATTTTATTCACCGCTTGAGCTTCTTGTTGATCGCTTCAATAAGGTCCGCCCTTGTGCGAATTGGAAAAGCACTCGGATCACATTGCGAGCAGGTCTCGGCTCCCTGCCCTAGTGACCTGACAGGTATCATGCTGCCGTGCCACTTCCTGCCGCACTTAAAAGTCTGGCTTGACTCGTTTGCCAGTATGTGGACCTTCCCTTTAGGATTCAGGAAAAACAAGTTGCCGGCCCCCGGCGGAGGCATGACTGCTGATTCTTGGGAAGATTGTGATTCCGACTCTGAGGAAGAGCTGTCCGAGGAATCCGACGTGCTGCCTGCACCGGATTCTTTTGGAACCTCAGCACCGCTGTTGGCTTCCTCCTCCGACACCGGGGCTGGTGCTGCCGACGGCAATGATGCTGTTTCCTGGTCTCGATCAGGAGAGGCAGGACTCCTTTCTTCTTCGTTCGAGACTACCTTCCAGGCAGACGTCGTGTCTGATGGTTCCCCACGGGAGTTAATGCCCGTCTCGATGGGCCGGCTGTCCTGGCGGGACCTGAAGAGACCGCTTCTTGTCTCATCGGGCAGGAATGTACCCGCCCGTATGGCGTTTAGAGCCATCGCGAGCTTTCGCAGAGGCCGGGATTGCATCCCCCTGGCATACACGTCGCTCGACGTAATGCTCCCCACGTGCCGACCTAGGAATTCCAAGGTGGGTTTGTCGGCCCCGAAGCGGGCCATCCATGCCAGCACCGTCTCCTTACAACTGTGAGACGTGAGATCTTCTACGTTATCCAGCTGCCTTAGTAGGTAGCGCAGCAACGACGTGAATTCGTCACTCTCGAGGCTGCGCTCAGAGAAGGAGTCGTCAGAAAGAGGAGCGGGGAGGAATGGCCCGGGCGCAAATTCGCCGAGGACTTGCTTCCGTAAGGTTAGGAACTGCTCGGCCCAGTTCTCGTCTGTGACTCCAAAGGCTGGAGCTACGATGGGCAGGAGCCTTCTCTTTTCTCTGTTGGCTGTCTTGTGATGTTCCGTCCGGACTTCGATAAAGCCGTGCCTCCCTGTAATGTCCAGACATATCTCCTCAATGTGTCTGAGGTCGGAGCATCTGCAGCGTCCATACACGCACATGAGCATGAGTCCTGCAGCTAGCCGGTCAAAAACTCCTTCAGATGTGTTCCTGAGGATGGCGTGCAAGCGCAGTACCATGGCGACGGTAAGCGCCGGCGCCTGCTTCAATGGTCTCTTCTTGCTCGAGGCTTGCTTAGCCACTCCCTGAATCAGGAAGCTGGAAATGATGGCCGTTGCTCCCTCGGGTTCAATCGTGTAGATCATGAAGTTTACCGCCTGCAGAAATGAGGCCGGAGCGGTTGGAGCACCAAGTGCCTTGAGGTGGTGGACATAATCGAACGACACTGCTTCCTTCATCGGCCATGCTAACCTGTCGTTCTGCGTGCACCAATAAAGGTACCTTTTCACAACCATCCCTCTAGAGTTGATGGTGGATGGGGCTTTGACCCCCATCACTGCATCGACACACGTGAAAAGCTCGGTGGCGACTTGGCCGCCGTTGTCTTCGTCCGATAGCTGGACGTGCCTGGTGATGCCGAAGTGTTGTGGAGCGACCCCTATGACGTCGCACCACAGAGAGATTCCCTTCAGTCTTGAAGCTTGTTCACTCTTGGGGAAATTCACGTTGGGGCGGTTCTTGACTGCCGACAAAGCGGATGACGCCCCCGCTCTGGGTGGCATAAGTATCTTGCCAATGGCTTCGCCCGGGTCTCGGTCCGGCTCGGAAGGCGGGGCTGTGGTTTGTAACTGAGCTTGCGGCACCACGACCGGGGGCTCAGTGGTTCCAAAAATGTCCCGCATCAAGGGGGTCTCCCAAGGCATGACTATTCTTGGCCGTTTAGCAGCCCTCAACAAGCAGCCTTGCAGGGCCTGCTCGTACTCGCGCCCTTGAAGCACGCCGCTCGGCGAACTTTGCTGGTTTTGGGGCCGGGCACTGGCCGATGCAGAGAAAAGCTCTGACTCAGCTGGCGTGAGCGCTAATGTTGCTTCGGGCCGTTCCTGCTCTGGCCACTGATCCAACTCACCTGGATCTTCCAACTCTGCTAGCCGCTCCAAATCGAGCAGCCTGTCGATTTCACTCTCTTCCGCCATGCTGCTGGGTGAGACTGACACGACACACCTGTCAGTTTCCCTAAATGCCGTAGGCTCGCTTCTTTGTGAGGCTACTCCACCTCGTGATCTAGCAAGGGCTCCTCGGCCCGTCCTGGCAATACATTCTCTTTCAGCGTGGCTCAAAACTGTGACACGGCTTGCTCGAGCAGAACGCAGGGACAAACGAGGAAATTGCACGGACAAAGGCAACACGGCAAGAGGCTCAGCAGAAAACAACTGCGACATGCGACGGCGAGTTTTGCGGATCTCCCCGCTGCGTTTTCCTCTGCTCGGAGGACTTCTAGCGAAGCTTGCTTCTTCGCGAAACGTCACAGCTCTGACTCCCAGAGCGATTTACCGCGGCACACTCAGGGCCAGTTTCGCCCTTCTGTGGGCAGTTTCTCTGGGATGCTCCCTCACTGTCTTTCCTGACACTCGATGCTTGGAACCCTTACATGACTCAAGTACGGCTTGACGTTGCTGAGGCGCGGGCGGTCTTCCTTGGGAATGCATCAAGTTTCCTAGCATCCGATGATCCGAAGGAGTATGCTCGCTTCAGTGGGTGCAATCTCCAAGCCAAGCGGCAGCTTCGGCTTCTTTTCTCGGCGGTGGTTGCGCAGTTCGTCATCATCCCGGGAGCCCCGACAACAAAATCTCCCGAGGTCGTTCGAGTCCCTCGGACTGAACTAGATGAAAAGATTTGGAGGCAACTACCGCGGCCACATGAACGCCACGGCCTTTATGGTCGCGCCCTCCGACCTGATGCACAGACTTTGGTCCGATGAGGATCGCGCCGCCCAGTCTCTTCTGCAAGCTGCATGAAGCTTGCCCACGCCTCCTTCCAAGAGTTGGACCGCGTGTGCCCTTGCGGACACCAAAATTGCGATGCCACTTCCCGAGGCCTTTGCTTTCCTCGCAACCCCTTCCAGGGCCTTCATTGCCGTGTGCGAGGAGTACTGCTCGCAGCTGCCACGGGCGAAGAACCCGTATGGCGGGTACTGGTCGGTCTGAGCTGCTTGAGGGCGGATGATCTTTTGGCTCAAAATGCCGTGAGCCGAGGACCACTTCGTGCCGTGAGCGGCCGTCAGACTCTGCGAGTGGACGGGGTCCGGGATCTGGAGCTGCTCCGGCGCGGCGATGTCGGGTTTAAGCTCCAGTTCGAGGATCGAGGCGGAGAAATGCGATCCTGAATGCTGCGCCCATTTCAACTCTTGCGGCAGCGTCCCGTCGGGGAGGGAGGCCAGGAACCGGGACACATAGTTGATCATTGCCTCCGGGAGGCGGGAGTGCTCCTTGATCCGCGCGGCCATGCGCTCGATGTCATCAGCTTCCACATTCTCCATGACTTCTTTGTAGGGGGGGCCGCGCTGATCCGCCGGGAGTTCACTGTAGGACAAAGTCCGAGTGCGGTCGGACCACGCCTCCTCCATTGCACTCTTCATGAGTGCTTCCTGCATGGAAGCTTCCTCCCTATCTTCGGCTTCTTCTTCCTGTTCGGGGAGCTTCCACTGGTAACCCTTCTCATGCGCCGTCCAAGTGTTCCAGGGCTTGCCGGAGCCTCTGGGCTGCCAAGACTTGGCTTGCCATTGTTTGTTCGAGTGCCAGCCTGGCTGCTTCCACCCGGAGCTCTGTCCGCCCCATTTGCCACTTCCAAAGGAATGGTCCTTCGTAAAGGACGGTGTGTGGTAAGACTCCCCCTTGTGGCTCGAGGGAGCGGCTTCCGCACGCTCCTTGCGCTTGTGGCGGCGGCGTTCCGGCGAAGACGAGGACGAGGAGGATTCAGAGCTGTACGAGCTCTTCTTTGCCTTGGGTGCGCGCTTCTTCGACGCCTTCTTCTTGGTGCGTCGGTCTCTTTTGGACTCTTTGCTCTTCTTGTGCTTGCGGTTCTTCTTAGCTTTTCGCCTCATGGGCATGAGCCCGTAGATCGTCGGAATCATCTCCTCACTGTCAGAGGAGTCGGAGTCGTCTCTGCGACCTCTGCCCATGCGAGTGGGGAGGTAGGGCGATGCGCCGAAGCTGAATGGCGTCACCATTGTGAGACGGAGGGTGAAACGAAGGTGAAAACTGAAAGCTCTTGAACCGGCTCGAGTAGCATAAACATCATAGGCTTCTGCGAGGGTGCGTCTTGCTCACGCAGGAAACTCTCCCAGCCCTGCACGTCACTGCATTGGCCTCGAACACGAGTTGCCCGTGTTAGCGATCCCTGTTGCCTTCTCGAGAGGGGCAGTCGAGAGCGAAATGACATTTACAGCGAAGGCCGGCGCGAACCAGCATCTTCGCAGCTGCTCTCCCCGGACTGCGTTTGGGAGGCGCTTCCGGCTGGTCTCCTTCTTCTGTCGGTTCCCAAGAGGCATGGAAGACCCACCTGCCCAAGTTGGCGGGAAGCCCTTCGTGGGCTGAACCCTCCTGCTCCTGAGGGTCTCGGGCGGTGTAGCTGGAGGAGGGCAACTGCTCTGCCCGATTGTCGGCATCTTCCGGGACTGATGCCGACTTCCTCTCTTTCTTCTTTCGCTTCTTGGTCTCTTCTTTGTCACATCGCCTGCGCTCCTGTGTCGTGGAGTGTCTCTTCTTCACCTTCTTCCGCTTCTTATGCTTCTTGCGCTTGCTCTTCGGAGAATCTGCTGGTTTACTGACCGGCGCGAACGCCGAACTCCAGGACGACATGTCTTCATCCCGCTCAAAAACCTCTTCACTGTTTGCCGACATGGTGTCTGAGCTGCATACGGCTACATTTGCAGTCTACGGGTTGTTCCTGGAGCTGTCCCTGACAAACACATCTCCGCTGGGATGCCTGACAGAACTGCACAATACTCTGGAGCACTAGAAACGCACACTTTTGCTTATTCAAACTCGCGTCATCAGGGAGACCGCAGGTGTTCTCTCAGTGACCGACCCACTGCCTGTCGATTGCCTTGATGATGCAGACATACCCTGATGGTGAGTCAGGGCAGTGCGCGGCTCCAGCAGCATCTGATGAACCAGGGCAAGTAACCCTGGGCGTTGAGTGGGGTGCCAGGTTCGACTGCTTCTGCGCGATGTTCAAGAATGAGTATCCTCCTTTCGCACGCTCTAACATGCGCCTGGATGGTGGAAATTCGGCGCTCGAGCTCAGTAACATGTCTGCTGACGAGACTGAGCGTACTTGGGCTATCGCCGCTGTAATCCGAGCTGTCGATTTCCATGCGACACCGGGGACCTCGGATTCGCCTTGTGCGGCTTGATGTCAGATGGGCCACTGCGGTCACTTGGAACTCTCTGCGACGGAAGCAAGACCGCAGAGCACATACTGCAGACTCCTGCTTTTAGGCATTTCGCACGAAGATCACAGGTGATAGCGTATTCGCTACAAGCACTGGCGCTGAAAAACTAAGGTGCCTGCCGTCCTGAACCAGGTGAAAAGAACTCAACTTCGGAAAACGACCAAACAGCTCGAAGAGTCTTTGAGCAACAAGCCACTTCGCTTGATCCACAATGTCCTTGCAACTAAGCTGGATGTCGAGCGTGACGGCCGTGTTATGAGAAATACGATCATTCGCTTGTACCTGCATTCGGAAAATGTATCCGTGAGGTGTGTCCCAGGGCAGGTCTGCCTCACCTGCCTTTCTTTTCATCTGAGCACTGACATGATGCTCATACGTGTCTCCGCTTGTTGCACATGGCTTGAGGCGAGCACGGATTCCCGGGAAAGAGCTATGCCTTTTCTAACCTGTAATACTGCGCCTGCAGTGTCGGTGCGAACACTGCGTGCATTCTCTCTCTGAGGCATGAGCAGTAGGGTGGAGCTGATCGTTGGCCCCAACACCCGGTCAAGAGCGACTATGCAACGAAGCTTGCAAGGAAAAACCCTGTCTGAGACTGTCACTTGCTTGTGGATATCCGAAGCAGAATCTCTTTGATCTGATGCCATTGCAATCACGCGCTTACACTCTTCAACGACACAAATATTGTTGTCTCGCACGCTGAGGAGACAACCGCAAACCTTCCTTCTTTGAGGACCCTTCCCGGTCCACTTGTGGGACTCTCCCCTTTCGAAATTTTCTGCCCGGCTCCGACTTGAGCAACGTTCACATGCAGGCACATCACACATGCTCAATGCAGCAAAACGTTTCTGCCTAAACAAACACGTTCCTTGTTTGTTTTCCATGATCGTGATAAAACACTAACTCGTCCCTCGCACGTAAGCTTTTCCCACTTACGGACCACTTGATATCTGCCCTAAGTCCACTTAGCCTGTACAACTATAAGTGAACTAACTGGGTTGTCTATGTACCCTAAACCCACTTAGTAAGTGCACAAAAAATCAGCAGAACTAAGTCGACTAAGCTGACATAGCCTAAGTCGCCTATCTACTTGGAAGTCGACGGTATGTGTTTAGTATATGGGCTATCTGGTTATAACCGGCCCGACTCTCCAAGGAGGGGTCGGCCGGTGAGCCGGTCGAGCCCGGCGCCGCGCGCCAGGTGGCGGTTGCAGCGGTAGCGGGCCGTCGTGCACCGGACGGCGAGGCGCAGAAGCGCCTGCTCCAGGGCGTGGCGACGCGCCTGGGCGGGAGACATCCTCTCCACGGTGATCTGCAGGGCCCGGAGCTCGTGCTGCGGCAAGCGGCGGTTCTCGGCGAGCTTGTCAAAACAGAGCTCCAGGAAGTTCTGGTGGAGCATGTGGTGGAACACCGCCGTGCGCGCAAACAGGGGACCGTAGCGGAGCAGCCGGCAGGACCCCAACAGCGCGAGCGCGTCCCGCGCCAGCGGCATGAATTCGTGGTTGTACGCGAGCGCCTCGAACATTCGCTCGGCCATGCGGCGGCGCTGGCAGAACTGGTCGTCGCGCTCGGCGACCGGCACGAGGAAGTCCACGAGCGTCCCCAGCACCCCGTCGGGCAGCGCCTCGAACCCCCCCGCGGCGCGCAGGCGCTTCGATCGACGGGGCGAGCTCCTCGAAGAACGCGTTGCGCTTCATCCTAAAAGTCCCGAGAATGGCTGGTCTGCTTCACAAAGCTGCAATGCCGGACGCTGGGTCTCTTTTTCAACAGCGGCCGGCAAGATGCTGGGCGAATGAACGAGGCCTGCCGCCGGTGGCGGTGCCATCGTTCGACAGATTTGTCGAGTTGTGGTTGTGTGGCACTGTCGTCATTCACCGAATCTGGTGAGTTGGGACAGTGGCCCGTTTTTTGATGAAAGAATGGGCCGAATGTGAGTCTTGGGAGCAAGGTCGGAATCCCGACCTTGGTATTTGGGGTGGAAATGCTGCAGAAAAAAGGGCAGCATTTCGTTCCCCACACGCCCCGACTGGGGGCGACAGATGCTGCAAAAAAACGGGCAGCATTCCGTTCCCCGACAGCCCCCTCCGGAGAGGGGACTGAGAGGGTGAGGCTTCGGAGCTCCCCCATTTCCTGGAGAGCTCCCCGGTGCCTCGCGGACCGGCGCGGAGAGTCCTCAGGGGTCCCGGCGAACCTGACAACCGCCGGTGGTTAGCCCTAAAACAGTCGGGCAACCCCCTCGTCTCCGCTGGACCGCCGTGCCGCTTCCCGGAGCCTACCGCCCGAAGGTCGGTCATCGGCACCGAGTCCGGCGGCGACACGACGACGACGCTTGTACAGTTCGTGTGCAGTGTAGGCTCCGTGTACCGCTAGGCTCCGTGTACAGTTAGGCCACAAAGAGTAGCCACAAAGAGTAGCCACAAAGAGTAGCCACAAAGAGTAGCCACAAAGAGTAGCCACAAAGAGTAGCCACAAAGAGTAGCCACAAAGAGCTAGGCTCCGTGTACAGCTAGGCTCCGTGTACAGTTTGGCTCAAGCCCGACAGGGGCTCCTTGTACAGTTGGCTCAAGCCCACGGGGCTCCGTGGCGTGCTTCGAAAACCCTTAAAACCTCCCTCTATAGCCCCTAAACCCAATGAAGACTCCTTCGCATGCATTTGGCTTTGTTTTACAAGAGGACCGTGATGCTTGATTTTGTTGCTGGGGAACTACACGTTTTGCATGATTTTTGATGTTTTTGCCACCCGCGCCGCGCCTCGAGGAGCAGCGCAGGGTAGGAGGGTCCGGGCGGGTCGGCTTGGGACTGTGGGAGCGTGGGCCCTCGCCTTGGTCGGACGCTTTCAGCGCATGGTTTGAGTGGGGTCGTTTTGCCTTTCTGGAAGCCTAGAGGCCGACCCTTACCCTTCTGTTTAGGTCAGACCGTCTTCGCTGGCGTGCCGTGCCGAGCCTGACGGGGGTTCTTTGCTTTTGGAAGGGTTGGGGTTTGTGAGTTTCTGCGGTCTGCGAGTGCAAGAGTGCCCTGCGCTGTCCCTTGCCCCGTAACTCTAGAGTGCCCTGCGCCCCTACCCTTCTCCCGGAAACCCCGGGCCCCTCTCGCGGCCCAGGTCTTCGACTTCGTCTTCGCTGCGAGCCGGGCACCACGGAGGTTCAGGGTTTAGGTTGGCAGGCAAGGGGTTTCTTAGGCTGCGAGGTCCGGTCCGTGTGCGCGCAGGAGCGTCTGCCCACTGCAATCTAGAGTGCCCTGCGCCCCTCCCCTTCTCCCGGAAACCCCGGGCCCCGCTGTGGCTTGCAGGTTCTCTTCGCGTCGGCTTCTTCATCGACTTCCGAGCGCCAAGGCCTTGCTGGTGTGGTCTTGGAGTGCAAGTCTAGGAGTGTGGTGGAGCCTGTGCATGGCTGCGTAAACTAAAGTGCCCTGCAGCCCCACCTCTCCCAGCAGGCATGTCATGTGTTCAAGACCTTTCGGCGCAAGTTTGAAGCTCCTGCGAACCCGATCCGAGATGGGCAAGAAGACCACGGCGAATCAGTTCAAGTCCAACTTGGCTTGGATGATTGCCCACCGCACCACGCGCTCGAAGAACCCTCGAGCGCTCACGGAGGACGAGTTGGCCGAGATCCAGGCCAAGCACGATGAGATGAAGGCCGAGCCCGTGAGTCGCGGAGGACGGGCGGTGGCGAGCGTGAACAAGCACACGAGCAGGACCGTGGACAAGGCGAAGACGACACCAGCGCGGAGGCCAGCGGCATCCGGGAAGACATCAAAGACTTCAAGGAGAAGGTCCTCGACTTGCTGGAGAGCACGCCAGCCGTGGTCAAGCGCCGGCAAATGGAGAGCGCCCTGAAGAAGCGTGAGGCCGAGGAGCAAGCGAAGGAGGAGGAAAGGCAGAAGAAGCGGGCTCGCGTTGAAGAGCTCAAGAAGGAGCAGGCGGCGTTGGCGCAGAAGCTCAAAGAGGCACAGGCCGACTTGAAGCCCTTGGCGAAGGCGAAGGCGAAGGCGAAGGCAAAGAGAAGAGCCAAGAAGGACACCGACGAGGACGCCGACGAGGACGCCGAGGAGGAGGCCGCCAAGCGCACCGAGGAGGAGGAGGCCAGTTGCACTTACAATTTTTTCGAGGATGATGATGATGCTCCCCTTTTCGTGGATGATGCTCCCGATGCTCCCCTTTTCGTGGCTGATCCCAAAAACGCTAAGCGCAAGGAGACCAAGCAGCGCAAGGAGAAGGACGCCGAGAAGGACGCCGCCGAGAAGGACGCCGAGAAGGACGCCGCCGAGAAGGACGCCGAGAAGGACGCCCGCAAGTCTGAGGACGCCGACCTCCGGGAGCTTTGGCGGGGCAAGCTCCGGGAGGCCGAGGAGGCCAAGCTGAAGGCCGACGAGGCGAAGAAGGCCGAGGAGTCCAAGCTCCGGGAGGCCGAGGATGCAAAGAAGGCCGAGGAGTCCAAGCTCCGTGAGGCCGACGAGGCAAAGAAGGCCGAGGAGGCCAAGCGGGTCAAGCTCCGTGAGGCCGACGAGGCGAAGAAGGCCGAGGAGGCCAAGCTCCGTGAGGCCGACGAGGCGAAGAAGGCCGAGGAGGCCAAGCTCCGTGAGGCCGAGACGGCCAAGCTCCGTGAGGCCGACGAGGCGAAGAAGGCCGAGGAGGCCAAGCTCCGTGAGGCCGAGAAGGCCAAGCTCCGTGAGGCCGAGGAGGCCAAGCTCCGTGAGGCCGACGAGGCCAAGCTCCGTGAGGCCGAGGATGCAAAGAAGGCCGAGGAGGCCAAGCGAGCCAAGCTGGCGGCCGACGAGGTGAAGAAGGCCGAGGAGGCAAAGCGGGTCAAGTTGGCAGCGGACGAAGCCTGCAAGACGCCACCCAGGAAGCCAAAGATGGAGCAGCAGGCACTCACGCCCCCGAAGCCGGCGAACCCGGTGAAGCTGGTACAACTTCCCCTTTGGCCGCGCCATGGTCCTCGACGCCAGCGGTGACATGACGAAGTTGCAGATGGAGATCCCGGAGCGCGGGCAGAAGGACTTCTTCCTGGGGCTCGCCAGGATCTGTCCTGGGAAGGTGGTCTGTCACACTCCGAAGAAGGACATCACATGGGATCCAGCAAGCATGAAGCCGGGAGAGAGGGGCTTGCTTGACGCGCGCAACAACCTGTTTGACTACAGAGAGATGTCATCTTTGACCCTGACGGTGTCGACTATACTCGTGTATGGCGCAATCCCTAGGTCCTAGATCGGCTCAGAACCGTGAAGGTAGACCCCCTTGGTTTTGCCCGATTGGGCTTGCTTTCCGCCGGGGGCATGCTTGCGGCTTTTACTCATCCATGCACAGTGCGCTTGGTGGCGTGTACAGGCCCTCAGGAGCGCGAAACACACCTTTCCGAGTACTTTGAAAAATTGGTGCAGTCGTGTTCTTGCGGTAGGAGCTGTGTGCGGTAGGAGCGGTAGGAGTGCTTGTGCGGGAGAAGTTCTTGTGCGGTAGGAGTGCTTGCGGTAGGAGTGCTGAGCAGTGTACGGCAGGCTCCTCCTGTTCCTCCATCGGCAGGGGTCCCGGCAGAATGCGGTAGGAGATGGTAGGAGTGTTTTGCGGTAGGAGTGCTTTGCGGTAGGAGTGCTTTGCGGTCGGCTTGCGGTAGGAGTGCTTGCGGTAGGAGTGCTTGCGGTAGGAGTGCTTGCGGTAGGAGTGCTGAGCAGTGTACGGCAGGCTCCTCCTGTTCCTCCATCGGCAGGGGTCCCGGCAGGATGCGGTAGGAGTGCTTTGCGGTAGGAGTGTTTTGCGGTAGGAGTGCTGCGGTAGGAGCTGTGTGCGGTAGGAGTGCTGCGGTAGGAGTGCTGGTTTCAGCTTTCGTCGGTGGGAGCCGTAGGAGCCGTGTGAGCTGTGTGCGGTAGGAGCCGTAGGAGCACCCGCCCCTCGCTCAGGTCTTTCCTTCGCCGACGTCTTCAGCAGTGGCAGGCCGGCCGGGTGCAAGTAAGGACCGAGTGAGGCGCAACAAGGAGCCGCTTTTGCAAATACCAGAAGCATTTTGCTCAACGTTGCTCAGTTTCGCTGGTAGTGCGGTTCCCAAGACCATGGACCATTACTGGCAGACCCGGCGCAAACTCGTCATGCAGATCGAGTCCAGGAGATCGCTTAGGGGCAAGCCTCTGACCGAGACCCATCGTGATGAGTTGAAGGCTCGGTTGCAAGAGTTGGATGACAAGAAAGCTTCGGAGGGACGCATCGTCGACTCCGTTACGGTCGTGACGCAGACACAGCACGAGCGCGTACTGAAGCAGATGGCAGCCGACAAGAAGGAAATCAAGGAGGCCATCAACGGCATCAGCCCTCTGGCGGCCTTTTTCGGCGCCGAAACCGAACCTGAGACGGTGACGGTGGAACAGGCCGCCGCGAAGGAGGCCTTTTGGAAGGGCAAAAGGAAGGCCGGGGAAGCTGAAAATCGGGAAGCTCAGAAAGCGAAGCGGGTAAAGCAAGAGCAGGAGGAAGCCTTCAGCGTCGCACCGGAGGCCGAGGACCAAGTGCTCTGCGGCGTGCCCGTCCGAGGAGAGCAGGGTCTCAGCTTCCTGGTCGGTCGCGATGTTTCGGCCCAGTTCATGGTGAAGGGCCTCCGCGTCCGCTTGGTCGCCCTGATCCATGGCGCCGCGACGCTGCAGTTGCTGGAATAAGAGAGAAACGCAAGTCAGCTTCTGATCTTGGCAAAACTCCTGGACCACCCTTTCACGGAGATTGTGTCGCTTGAGTTGCGGACCAGAGCCCGCAAGACGGCCGTTGTGGTGGAGCACAAGCACGTCCGCCTGGTCATGGAGAAGAAAGGCAAGTCTCCCGAGAAGGCCGTGGTGTACAGCGGCATCGAGAAGATCGCGCCGACCTCCATCTACAGCCTGCGTTTTGGGATGAGGGTGGAATGCATTGAAGGGGCCCTGCCGGCGCGCTCCAGCACTAGCGCGAACAAGGAGCCCGAAGACTCCTTCACGGCAGAGACCACCGAGCCCGGCAGCCACGCGGCAGAGTCAGAGCCCAGCACAGACTCCCGCACCGCAGAGACCCACCGAGCCCGGCGACTACCACACCGCAGAAACCGCAGAGCCCAACGAGCCCGGCGACTCCCGCGCTGCAGGGTCCGAGCCCAACGAGCCCGGCGACTACCACACCGCAGAGACCGATGACTCCCGCACCGCAGAGACCACCGAGCCCAACGAGCCCGGCGACTACCACACCGCGGAAACCGCAGAGCCCAACGACTCCTGCACCGCAGAGACCAACAACGAGCCCTACGACTCCCGCACCGCGGAGACCAACAACGAGCCCGACGACTCCCGCACCGCAGAGCCCGGCGACTTCCACGCGGCAGAGACCAACAACGAGCCCAACGACTCCCACACCGCAGAGACCAACAACGAGCCCGGCGACTTCCACACGGCAGAGCTCAACAACGAGTCCGGCGACTTCCGCGCTGCAGAGACCACCGAGCCCAACAACGAGCCCCACGACTTCCACACGGCAGAGCTCAACAACGAGGACTCCCGCGCCGCAGAGCCCAAAAACGAGTCTGGCGACTCCCGCGCTGCAGATGGTTTCCAGGAGCCCTTGATCACCGAGGAAGGGCCGACGGGGACGTGCGCATGGAAGAGGAGGACTTGGAGGAGGAGGCCTTTGAAGAGCCCGACCCAGTCGTGGAGCCCGACCTTCAGGTTGCCGGGTGTGCCGAACTCCACTTCCGACACAGCAAATAGCTGATGATCGTCCGCTGCAGTTGGGTCGTGGTGTGGGAGACGGTCAATTTTTGGCCAAGCGTCATTTGCGGCGAGAGCTTGCGCAGCTTGATTTTCATAGTGAAGAACCATCCAGAGTCCACCCAGATGTTGACGATCGAGGTGCATGGTGCAGAATTCACAGTCGAGGCGGACACGTGCTCGATCTGTTTGACTCAATTGCGCTGCCCCGATCGAACGGTTGAGCTTCGTAAGATCGGGAGGGTCTTGGCGACCTTGCCCACAGCGGCTTTCAAGAAAGTTGACCCCGCGAACTGAGCAACTGTTTAGTTCGAGCTATCGGTGAATTCGAGGCCTTTGGCATTTATCACTGCACTTCTAGAGCCCTCGCCTTGTGCACAGTGAGCCGATTGGGCTTATAGAAGTCAGTGCACTCAGCTCCTGTCACCTACAACAGAGTGAGGGGCAGTTCGTACAGCCGCCGACAAACCAGTTACACCGTTGAGAACACCTTGCACCGTTGCAGTTGCCCGCCTCCGCTGTAAGACTATGTTTTCCTGGCCAGGTCTTCCGTGGAGCTCTTCGAGGCAGGCAGGGATGGAAGTCGCAGCCTGCACGAGTCTGCCCTGGAGTATCTAGTGCCTGTAGCATGCCAGGCATGACGGCGCAGGAAGCGTGGTGGGGCCTGATCAAACAGGGCTTGCAATTCGATGAGCTGACAGAGCAACTGGCTCCGGGAGCTTTCGATAGAGCCCTGGACTTGCAGAAGGGCTTGGCTGTCGAGTTTTGTCAGTGCGATTACCAATCTTGGAAGAAGATAGTTGCGAAGGGGGTGGCCATGTCTAGCAAGGAGAGACGTAAAGCCAAGATCCGCTTGAAGAACCTCCAGGGCTCGGCGTCCATTTATCGGTACGATGTACAGGAGCCCGCATTTGTGTATCGCATCCAGGACAGCCGCTTGTACATCATGATGCCCATGAGAGAGACCACAACGCAAGCGGAGCTTCAGGAGCGAACTGCGCAGAACGGGACCGGTTACCTCGGCCTCGAAACCATCCGATCCGGGTTCCGACAAATGCAGGGGAACCCGTGAGAGGTTAGGCGAGCCAAAGTGGTACAGTGGCGAGCCGAGAAAAGCGTGGCTTGACTGCGTGCATCCACTGAGATAGAAGTGTGAGCTTAAGCCGTTTTTTGGTTTAGCCCGTTTCGAAGTGTTGAAGGTTCTGCATTTGTTCCTCGGGCGCTGCTCTCGGGAAAACTGCGATGCAGCCACATGTCTGGGCTTCCCGACGGGAAAGAGTGAGGCACTAAGTGAAGGCACCAAGTGAAGGCACCAAGTGAAGGCACCAAGTGAAGGCACCAAGTGAAGGCACCAAGTGAAGGCACCAAGTGAAGGCACCAAGTGAAGGCACCAAGTGAAGGCACCAAGGCACGGCAGGTTGCAGGAAAGAGTAGCCACACAGAGTGGCCACACAGAGAGCCACGCAGAGCCACAAAGAGCAGCCACACAGATAGCCACATAGAGTAGCCACAAAGAGTCGCCACAAAGAGCAGCCACACAGAGTAGCCGCACAGAGTAGCCACACAGAGTAGCCACGCAGAGTAGCCACGCAGAGCAGCCACAGATCGTTGAGCACTTTTCAGTTTCAGCAGAGCTCTGCGAAGTGCACTGTTGAGCGCTAGTGAGCGCTAGTTGGGACTGCTGAGCACTAGTGAGCGCTATTGAGCGCTAGTGAATGCTGGTGAGTGCTGGTGAGGCCATATCAGTTTACGCTGAGAAACAGAGTTTCAAGGTGGCTTGCGGGCCTCGTCGACCACGGCAGCACTCGGCTTCAAACGGACAAACTACCGAACAAAAAAAAACAACGGTGAAACAAAATTAGAGAGAGCGGAGCTGGCTGCGGCCCAAGTTTTGCCGGAATTGACCGTTTAGCACTTGCTACGGGTCCTCAGCGATCGTTCTACAACAACAAGAAAGCCGTTGCCCAAACTTGCCCAAGAGCGTCAGTGGAGCCCAAGTCAAGGCTCCGGCCACTCCGGCCGTTCTAGTACAACGGTCGACCCAGGTTTCTCCTGTCTCGATCGTGCACGCCAAAATCCATAAGTCCAAAGTCCAGGCTATCGGCAGTAAAAGACCCGTCGACGTATGTCGAAAGGTTGGAGCATCTCATGAGTCCAAGGTCACTGGACACGCTTCTAGGCAGAGGGCCATTCAGCAAGCTTGACGCTGCATGTCGTTGCCACTTGTTCGAAAATGGGATTCTTGCTGCGCAGCAATTGAAACTGGCCCGCATCATACAAAGCTTTGAGGCAGTGAAAGCGAGCACAGGTTCTTGGAGTGTTCCGAACCTGCGGATCTGTGTGCGATCCTGCCGCGGGTTGCTGGTGCCGCGGTGGCTGCCACTCTTGGCGGGATCTCTTCGAAGTGCGACATTTGGATAAAGCTACCATTGCGAACAAGGCGACTTGGAGAGGAAGAAGCGGAGCCATCTGGTTCGTCCAATAACCACCACATCTCCGGACGCGCACCGTAGCACCGGGTCACAGAACTGAGCAAGAACAATGTAAACTGCCAAAATGGGTTTAAGACAGCTTACTGGTCGTGCAGTGTCGCAGCATGAGTGTGCGATCGGCAGTCCACCACGTGCGCGCTGAAATTCTGAGGGCTGATCTTGACTTCACATGCTGAGAAGGGAACTCTATGTTCGATCTTGGGGTTCGGGAACTCTATGTTCGAACTCTAGGTTCGGGAACTCTATGTTCGAACCCGGGGTTTGACGAACTTCGGGTTTGGGAACTCCTCCCCCTTTCCTAGAGAGTCCGAACCCTGGGTACTCTATGTTCGAACCTGGGGTTTGGAGAACTCTATACCGGAACCCCAGGTTCCGGAACCCTTCCCGTCCTCCAACGAGTTCGAACCCTGGGTTTGGAAACTCTAAGAAGAACCCACACGAAACCGCTTTATGGGTGGTTTTTGCGAAGAAATATAAGAAAGACAAAACAAAGAAAAAAGATTGTCAATGAGGAGGAGTTGAAAAAAGACTGCCAAGGACCAGTCCCTGCCACAAAAGAAGAACAAGCCACACGAAACCACTTTATGGGGAGTTTTGGCGAAGAAATAAAAGAAAGACAAAGAAAAAGATTGTCAATAACAAGGAGTCTGTCTTCTCAAGGGGGCTTCAGAAGGACATGAAGTCTTCTACGAGAATGCTAAAGGCGCGAACAAATGAACCGGGTTCTAGACTTCCCCCCAGAGTTCGAACGGGGTTCGAACACCAACAATCACCGAACAAAAGGAGAAGAAGCCACACAGAATCGCTTTGTGGGGGGTTTTGCGAATAAAATCATGATTCCGCTTTTCTCGGGAGGAGACGAGTGTTTCTTTCAGAGCCTTGCAACAAACCTCTCAGTTGCATAGTTGTTCTGATCCCAATAGAGTCGCGCCCAACCCCAGTCCAGTCGAACCCTCGCCGCCCGTGCTTCTGTGTTGCGGTCTAAAGCAAAAAGTCCTAGAGTCTCAGGTTGTAGGAATCGTAAAGTCGAAGGGTCCGTATGCCTGTATTATGCTTGATTGGTGTACGTGTAGCCTCACTGTCTGGTGACTTACAGGTCCCATCGACGCATGCCAGGTGTCTGACTGCTCACTAACACGGCTGTCAGGCTTTCACATGTTCGATGATCCTGCTGCGCTAGACTTTATTCGAACGTTTGAAAGATTCCCCAATGGATGAAACAAACATGCCACTTTGTCAGGCTTCTTGGCCAGATTGGTTTTCAGATTCATTTTGGAAGGGGGTGCAGATGCATTCTGGGGACCCTGGCCTATACCACTAATGGATTTCATAAGGGTAGTGCTTTCACATAAAATCAAAAATCCCATAGTTCAGAACAAAATTCTTGTAAGTTCACTGGCTTGCTTTGCATGTCACCTCATAGCGTGCAGCATAGCACTGCTTCACAACTTCGCTTCTGATGTGACGGTCCAGCGTGCGTGCCCTTGCCAGCACATCCAGCATTGTCTATGCTTGGGTGACAAGCAAGCGCGGAAATGGAATCATGACAACTACAACAGGTCCTCTTTCTCATCTTGCTCGACAAGATAGGCATGCTTGCATCCTATCCAAAGTACTTTTACCCCACAGTAAGGCCAAAGCCAAAACGTATAGTCAAGCAACATCCGGCCAGTAAGAGGTTTCACAATTTGTTTATCAATTCTCTTGCTCGTTAAGATTCTTGTAGGGACTGAGAGCTGCTATCGCAGTCGAGACCCGCCCACACCAAAAAAATGCGATGTTTTTGATGGATTTCATGGTTTTTTGTGATGGAATTGAAGCTTGGAAAAGTTTTGGGTGTTTTGAAAGACAAGATTTTTCAATCATTCCAGCAAGTAAAAGAAAGATGCAGCAGCTGGAGTGCATGCGAATGTCTGACCAATAATGCGTAACATGTCAACTAAAAGGATGGCATTCCTGGAACTGCTGCAGAAGCTTCCATCTGTGCTTGTTCGTTCTCGTCGAAATCAGTCGCTTTCAACTTCCTTTTGGTGGTCAGCTTCTGTCAATTTTGCTTGATGCTGAGTGGGTGATGCTTTTGCAAAGATCTTGGCAATTGCAGTGATGTATCCAAGTCACAAACTTTATTGTCTGATTCTTTCCAGATTCGGAGCTACTTTGTCGCGTTTGAGCTTCGACGGAGTTCCGTGGTTGCATGTTGTTGGAAACAAAAATGAAAACAAATCTTGAGCTTCAAGTCGCTGTGCTGATTCTGTGAACAAGAATTCTCGGCACAGAATTCGGCTCACGGGCGGCCGACACACCAGAACGAACATTCCGTTTCGTTTTGGTTACCCGGTTTTAAACCACCGTCTTTCGTGCGCAATTCGTTCTCTCAGAGCGTTTTTGGATCAACAGACCTTTATCACGGCATTCGAACTGTGCACGTCCCCTAAACCTGAACGAAGTGAGGTTTTTTGTTTCGACGGCTGATATTTTTTGTCAACAGTTCGCATCATCGAGATCAAATAAAACCGTGTGAAATGGGTTTACGTCACATGTCTCACTTGAAGCACCACAAAAATCCGGGTAGGAGCGCCTGTGGGTATCGCATGCATGTCTTTCGCAGCAAAGTTTGTAGGCAGAAGCAAAGCATGCACAGTGTTCATGCCAGTTTGAGTTCGCGGAAAAGCAAAAGCGTTTTCCAGTAAGTTCGAGTTCCATGCGTTTGCGTCTTGATAATGACTTCATGTCAACCTCTTGGAAATTGTGTTGCCGTGCAAGACCACGGTAGTTGTTGAAGTTGTTAGCTTGCTTTAGTGATCG